TTTTAATGAAGCCCACGGGGAAGTGATGGGGAATGTGCCTGTGATTATCAGGAAGCTTTCCATGGATCAGTTATCTGTTAGTTGATCAGACACATTTTTTTAGGATCAGTGGATATTTGAACAGCATTACTTTCATGTATGAAGTTTATTCTTCAAAGGCTACTTAGTCCGCTGTGTGTTTGATTTACCGTACAATATCTCATTTTTGTCAGAAGTTTTTTTCTATTATTTACTAGTAGGGCAGCATGGACATTACTGACTTTTTTAGATTTGTTATTGAATTGTCTGCAGCAGCTTTTGTATAACTGGTGTAGATTGTGGATTCCTTCAATAATTCCACTACTGACTAAGAAAGTGATGTCAGTGATTGTGAGCAACAGAGCTTCATAAATTCTGACTCTAGTGATGATGAGTTCTATGGGTTCAACGAAAACTAGAAGAGTACTCGAACTTTAAAGTCTCTCTTTTGTTAATGACAGTGATGATGGTTCTTAATGCCACTGTTGACTGCTGTTTACTTTACAAGGTTGAAATACGGTATTACTGTACTCTGTTATAGTTTATTAAATAGTTTAGTAAACCATTTGATTCAGAATATTTTTTTCTTGTTTTCCTCCTCTAAAAACTAGGTGCGTCTTATGGTCAGGTGTGTCTTATAGAGCGAAAAATACGGTAGTAGTTCCCCTTTTCTCAGCACTGGTTAGGCTTCATCTGGAATACTGCATCTAGTTCTGGGCACCAGAGTTTAAAATACATTCAAATGAGCTGGAACAATTTCAGAGAAGGGTGACAAAGATGATCAGGCAACTGGAAGTCGAACTCTATGAGGAGAGATCAAAAGAACTGGGCATGCTTAGATATGAGAATAGAAGACCGGGGAGATATGGTAGCACTTTTCAAATACTTGAAAGTGTCCCAAAGAGGAAGGACAAGATCTTTTCTCAATCATCCCAGAATGCAGGACAGGAAATAATGGGAGCAAGTACAACAGGAAACCAGATTTTAGCTAGATACCGGGGGGGGGGGGTCTGACTGTTAGTGCAGTGCAGCAATGGAACCAATTGCCTAGGGAGGTTGTGGGCTCTCCAACACTAGAGGCATGAATGAGGCACTGGGCAACCATCTGAGAGGGATGGATTAACTTGGGAGTACTGCACTGAGCAGGGGGTGCACCCAACAGCCCTTTGGACCCGTCCAACTCTGCTATTCTATGATTCTATAATAAATGAAGACCTGAGTCTGAAAGAGTATATCAACACTTTCTTTTTTTGGGAGGGGGGCGGGCTGCTGCCTAACCACATCTATTGTACAATCCTATTTTTCACCAAATGATTTGAAAGGATAAATCTCAGAAGACAGAAAAAGGTCAATTGAAAATGGAAATGTACACTCTATATTCATTCAGTGAATCTGTACAAAAAATCAAGTCAGTATGTGGGTGGTCTGAAAAAGACAAATTTCATGTTAGTCACAATTGCGGGGGGGGGGGACCCCAAACTGGCAAGATCTTATACCCCTCACACAAATCTACACAGTTACACTATGGCACAATTCTAATCACAGCACTTAAAAAGGATATTGGAGAATTGGGAAAAGTGCAAGAAAATGTGATTAAAATGATCAACAGGCTGGAGCGGGCAAGCTCGTGCAACATCTGGAAGTCCTTAGCTTAGAAAAAAGGGTGTGTGCTGTGAGCCACAACAGAGCTGGAGAGGTTAATGCACAGTGTGGACAAAGTGGACAAGGGGCCCATTTTTCCTTCCTCATAATGCTCAGAATCATGCCGTACACCCGAATGATGGGAGATTCAGGACAGGAGGAAGGAAGTCTTCACACAGCGCACAGTTACATGATAAAATTCACTTCCCTGAGAAATGGCGATGCCACCAACTTGGCTGGGTTTAAAAAGGAGCTGGACAGATTCATGGAAGCGAAGTCTAGCAATGCCTACCAGTCCTATCGGCTATGTGCTCCGCCATATATATGCCTATGTAGGCCACAGTTGCTGGGGAAGATGGGCAGAAGCGAGCCGACGCACTCTTACTCTTCTTTAGGTCCCCCGTCCAGCTGCGTGGTCACCGTTGGGGCGGAATGCGGGCACAAGGCAGAGTGCTCGTTTGATGCAGAACGGCTCTTCTGCGTCATTCTACCATTTCTATCTCTACGCCTTTAAAAGGAACACGCCTATTGGCCAAATCCAGCCTCAGGTTCGTCTACTTCCGGCCCCGGAGGTAATTACTTCCTCTCCTTCGCACCCCGTGTTCCGGAAAGGAAGCGGAAACTTTTTTGTTTTGGCCGTGCCGGGCATTGTGGGAAGGCCGGTGCCGCCCGCGCCTGCCATTGTGCCGCGCGCTGCCTTGGTCGGAAGGGAGCAGAAGAGGCGGCCCTTCGTGGCTCCTTTGGGGTCGGCGCTCATCCGCCTGGCAAGTACCGGAAAGCAAAGTGGGCCGCACGAAGAATGGCGAGCGCCGTGGCCCGGGCCGGCCCTCATCGCCCTTCCTGGCGTTTGACCGCGGGGGTGGATAGGAGGAGAGGCGCTAGAGCCTGATTCTGGGAGCACCGTGGCCTTGCCGCTCCCCTCTTCCGCTTGTCGCGGGAGACTGAAGCGAATGCCTCCGGCTCCTGCGGTTAAGAAAGAGCGGGGCGGCTGCCGCGACGACGTGGCTTCGCTGCCTGTTGTTGTTGTTGTTTCCCGCGCCTGGCCTCTTACACCAAGAGCCCGCCTGAGGCCTACTAATTGAGCAAGAGGGTCAATAAGGACCCGCTGGCCAATTGCCAGAAAATTAGCAAGAGGCTTCGGTTCCCAGTTACTTAATAATAGCTATTTTTAGGGCTTTGTCGAACTGTCAGGGTCCCTGGTGAGAGATGCAAGTTTGATGCTTGTGTATGTGGGTCATCCCGAGGTATTTGTTTATTTGATCATGCAGGCTTTTCGCAAAGAAAAAGCTACGCAGGTTGGCTCTTGGCGCTCAGGAGGTAATTGGCTGGACTCCCTGAGCCATCATAGTGTATTTCGCTCTAATTGGTGGCCTCTGGGGTTTTGATAAAAACAACAGAGTAGCTTTCTCAAGGTTGAAGTCTGCTGTGCTCTTGAGGACTACTACTTATGGTATTATTTTTGCTTTTCCTCTGAATAGCTCATGGATTCTCTCTCTTACTCCTCCTAATTTTATTTCTCAGAACAAACTTGTGAGGTAGGTAGACTGAGTGTGTGTGGTTGTCTCAAACTTTTCAACTTCTCTTGGGCTTTCTTCCAACACTAATCACTGAGTATATGGATTGGCTTGCCAGTTGTACAGTTTAAGGTAGACATTTTCAAAAGTTAAAGACCTGAATTCCCTCTTTAAACCTACTCTGCAAGTAGGACCTACTTCTTACAATAGATGTTTGGGCTTTTTTCAGATTAATCTCTCTCTTTTTTTCCTCCAACTTTGGTTCTTTTCACTCTGATTTCAGAAACTTTGTACCTATGAACAGATGCTGAGAGCTTTGGTTTGAGCCAGCAAAACTGTCCTTATTTTTTACTTTCTCCTTTCTTTCTATTCTTTGAAACAAATAGCTCCCATCTCTGTTAATAAAAGAAGAAAATAAATGGTGGGATGATCTGGAAGAATTTATGTTAAACTGTGATAAACTTCTAACCCTGTAGTTGAACCCTGTCAGTATCCCAATATGTAATGGATAGATGGTGCAGCAAAATGTTTAGGGCATCAGAGGACTTACTGTAGCCACCATCTAATTGTATCTCGTTGCATTATTTTACTAAAACTCAAGATGGATAACAGTTACTAGATCACTGGAGACTAATCTTCTCCAGCCTGGTCCAAAACATCTGGAGGACACATCAACTTGCATTAGCTCCAGAAAGCATAGGAAGCTGTTGTGAATGTTGGGAGTTGTTATCCAATTATCCAGTATATGTGGAGGGAAACAGGTTGGGGAAGACTGATGTAGATCCTTATGAACTTTTACACTAATTTCAGTTTTTGACTGGTAGAACAATACTTTGTTTTACACATCCACAAACCAGCTTACCTTTTCTGTGTGTGTGTGTGTGTTTAAATATACTAATTATTGCTCTTACCTGTGTTTGGAATGCTTGTTTTTGGCAAACAAGTTTTAGGGCACACTGTTTTGCCTTTCCCAGAAAACATGTATGAAAACCATTTATAATAGGATTCTTCTTTTGAACAGTGTTCCCTTGTTCTCTTCCTGTATTTTTTAAAATCCATGAAAATTATGGGAAGTTGGGAACTCTACATCATGGGCCTATAGACATGTGCAGAACATATGGGCAAACTTAGAAAAAGGCAGTGTACACTTTACACAATGTGGAATGTATGCAGTATTCTTACGAATTATATTACATGTTGAAGGTCCTCATGAAAGTGTGTGCAACTTAGGAAAAGTGGGTTTTCGTTACATTTTGTGCAGTATTTAACATCTTTATAGTATTTTTAATCTTGCAAAGAGTGCAATAGTTTAATTGTTTCTGCTTTCACTATAACCATGTCAGATTGAATACTGTAATTCATATTTAAAATGGTAATATGCTAGATCTTACATCATTAATTTATCTGCTGTGGCAACTTTGCATGTGGTTACGCTCAGAAAAATCGTAGTCAAAGGGATGTGTACCCAAACTATAATGATAGATTATCTTGCACACCAAATTCCAAGACCACAATCCATGCATACACAGCTTGGAGTAAGATAATTGAACTCAATAGACTTATGTCTGTTCAATATGCATGGGATTCTGCCATGAGGGTTCCTTTGTAAATTATTTTGTAGTAAATGCATCAGCGTGTATATTTGATTTCTCTGAGACCCTAATTCATCTGTTTGAATTCCTCACAGATGTTTTGCCTGGATTTTTCAAAGGCTGGAATTCCTCTTTTGTGGTGGTGGTGTCTCATATAAACTGCAGTCAGTTTGAAGCAGAACACACTCAGAAGACCATTGCATTTTCTGCATCTTCAGTATCTTCTCTCTAAACACAGTTAATTTTCTAGTACTCTGCACAGATTTGCAATACTTCTGCAAACCACAACTTTGAATGGTTTACCATTGGAGCACCCAAGTAGTTAGGAAGGATAATTCCCTTTATGGACTTCAACTATAAAAACATTATTAAAAGATCCATAATAAGAGAAGGCATGTTCTATGTCTTTGAATGCTACTTTTAGGAACCTGCTAACATGGCCTTTTCTTCCAGGAAAGAAACCACTTTCTACCTGCGTCTACAATATAGATAAGCCCACTTTCTTTGCTCGCTACTTGCATTATCTTCTTTTCTAGCTATGGCAGCTGCTACAATCGTTCATGACACTTCTGAAGCTGTGGAGCTCTGTGGTCCATATGGACTGTACCTTAAACCTATTACAAAAATGACTATCAGTGTGGCCCTTCCACAGTTGAAGCAACCAGGGAAGTCCATTTCTAACTGGGAGGTGATGGAAAGGCTGAAAGGAATGGTGCAAACGCATCAATTCTCAACATTACGGATTTCCAAAAGCACCATGGATTTTATTCGCTTTGAAGGAGAGGTAGAGAATAAGAGTTTGGTTAAATCCTTCCTTGCATGCCTAGATGGCAAAACTATAAAACTTAGTGGTTTTTCAGACATTTTAAAAGTTCGTGCTGCAGAATATAAAATTGATTTTCCTACTCGACATGACTGGGACTCCTTTTTTCGTGATGCAAAAGATATGAATGAAACTCTGCCTGGGGAAAGACCAGACACTATTCATTTGGAGGGCTTACCTTGTAAATGGTTTGCACTGAAAGACTCTGGCTCAGAAAAACCAAACAATGAAGTTCTCATTAAGGTATTTAGTAAATTTGGGGAAATTCGTAATGTGGACATACCTATGTTGGATCCATATAGGGAAGAAATGACTGGCAGAAACTTCCATACATTCAGTTTTGGAGGCCATCTGAATTTTGAAGCTTATGTTCAATATGAAGAATATGCAGGTTTCATCAAGGCTATGAGTGCATTGCGAGGCATGAAGCTGATGTACAAAGGTGAAGATGGCAAAGCAGTCGCTTGTAACATAAAGGTGAGGTACCTTTGGACCCTTCCTGGTGCATCTTTTTATAAAAATGGTTGCATGCTTCTTCCTGTATATTTTGAAGAGTTGGTCCTAAATTAGCCGCGCTAGGTGAAAATGAGTTTTCGGCACACACAAGTTTTTAGAAATCTGAGTATTTGTTCCATAAAAAAGGCAGTAAAACCTATTTTCTTTGTAATCCTGTATAGTGAATCTTCACAAATACTCATTTTAAATGTATACATGTCACCTGTTCAAAAATAGGTACATAATCAAATTGTGTTAGTGAGCAGTGGAGGGATATATGTAAATTAAAGATAATATAAAAACAGCACACTGACTAAAAATGGAACATAAAATGAGGTGACACATTATAAAAAAAGTACAAATTAGTGAGATATGCTGTTATAAATTTATTCTAAAAAGGTTAATTATTATTTATACCTTGTGATAAAGTAGCAGATATCTGAAAAAACTGAATATCTTTTTCTCTAATCAAATAGGACTTTAAAAATAGCCTTAATGAAATATAAGTACTTTTTAGAAGATAACCTATCATGGCATCCTCTGAAATTTTGGCTTTTGCACTATTACTTGCATCATTTTATGGATCTTGGAGGGGAGAGATATTATGGAATTTACCAGTATGAAGCAAATACTCTTTAGTTCTCACACGCACAGAGAGAAGCAGGAACAGTGTGAGAAAACATGCTAAAGTTGCTTCATGAGATTCTATTTTCAGGCATCTATCTTCAAATATATCACACAAGCACCTTTTTAGGATACATATCACATTTTTGCTAACATGTTTCCATAGTTACACTTTCTGCTTGCTTTTGAGGTGACACAACAAAAGTCAGATATAAAGTGCCTTGCAGAAGTATTCATCCCCCCTTTGACTTTTCTATATGTTGCTGTGTTACAATGTGGAATTGAAAGGATTTAGTTGATGTTATCACTTAATGTACACAAGATACTGAACACTGGTAAGGTGCAGAATACTTTCACTGTGGAACTAAAGATGAATAAACACAACTAAACCGCCACTCGTTGGTTGTATAGTCATCCCGTTCTCTGTGACACGTCAGAGTTGTTGCTACCTACTGCCTCCAGGAAGTAGCTGAATGAAGTCCACCTAGATGCAATCGCAGTGCCACAAAATCTCAGATTAAATACAACTGTTTCTGGGAGTCCCCAGATTTTATTGCAGAACACATCTAAACAAATAGTATAATGGAGCCCAAGGTATGATCAGCAGTCATGGGATAAAGTGCAGAAGTATGAAACAGAGAAGGGATATTAAAACAACTTCCAAGCTATGAACATCTGGAGCACCATTAAGTTCCATATTGAAAGACTATGGCTCAGCTGTGACTCTGTCTGAAGAAAGCTGTTCACCAAAGCTCAGTTAATTAGAGAAGTAACAAAGAGGCCAGTGGTAACTTTGACAGGGCAGGGAGATCCACAACCGAGATGGAAAGAAGAAAACAGTGCTAATACCTGAGAATTGCACAAAGACAAGCCTTATGGAAGAGTGAAGAGATGAACGCCTGTCGGGGGGGACCCATGTTGAAGCACACTTGGAGTTTGCAAAATAGAATGAGTTGGGTCTAGCATGGAGGAAAAAAGTTCCCTAGCCCAATGGGAAAAAATGGAACGATCCAGCCTTGCTGTGAACAATGCACATAGCACAGAGTTAACTCTGCTTGTTGCCCTGAGCATAGCGTCCCTGTAGTGAAGTGTGGTGGTAGCATGATCTTGTGGGTTGCTTTTCTTCAGCAGGGGCCAGGAAACTTCTCAGGACAGAGGGAAAATGGGATGGAGCTAAATGCAGGGAAATTCTAGAGGAAACTGTGTTTTAGTCTGCAACGGTTCTGGGACTGGGGCAGAGGTTTTCCTTCAAGCAGGACAATGGCCCTGAACACAAACCAGAGTCATGTTGGTGTGGTTTAAAACAAGAACCTCAATGTTCTGTAAGGGTCCAGACAAAGCCCAGACCTCAATCTGGCAAAACATCTGTGGCAAGACTGGAGGATTGCTGTTACCAGTAAGCCCCATTTAACCTGACAGAGCTGGAGCAGTTTTCCCAGGAAGGATGGGCAAACATTGCAGGATCCAGATATGCAGTGTTGATGGAGACTTAGCCAAGATTTGCCACTCTAATGACTTGCCAAGATATTTCCACCAAGCCTTGACCTTTCGGGGGAGGGGGGTGAATATTTATGCAACTAACAAGTGCCTGTTTGATTTTGTCTACTTACATTTTGTGCCACAGTAACAAAACAACAACAAAACTTGGCACAGTGTTGAGTATCTTGCATACATCAAATGGTGACAATATCAAACCCATTTCAAATCCAGCTTGTAACAAAACAAATAGTGAAAATGTTACAGGGATTAGTACTTAAGCAGGGTGCTGTATTTATAATATAAGGGCTATCCTCCTCTTCCCAATTGCTGGCTTTGCCTCCTTAATTATATGCATTTATGCAGATATAAGCCCCACTGAGTACATAGTATTTACTTTACGATAAGAACAGAGGACTGGGACTAGGTTCTTTGAAGGGCTACCTGTGCTAATGTGAGCCAACCTGGGCCCTAGGAACAGCCATGAAAGCCCTACCTGTTGGATGGTGCAGTCCATTCAGTTGCTTTGGTGAGCAGAAGATGTGGTCTTTTCTACATGGGTGGTAAGTCCAAGTCCCACCCAGTTCTTAAACAGCCTTAAAGACCTTGATTTTAACAACCTATGTTTAATTGTTGCTGACCTGTATTTGATGGTTCTGGTTTTCCTAAACACTGAGGAGGGTTTTTTCCCACATTAAAAAACAGTATAAAACATTTTTAATACAATTCACAACTTTACAGTGGATCTTTTTAAGCATCTTTTTTAAAAGCTGACAAAGGGGAGAAAGCAGTTAAGCAAGAAAAGAGGAAGGCCAATTGTTAAAAGCAAATTTATCAGCAGATCTCAGCTCTTTGCTTTCAAATTTATGCAATTCAAAACTTAATCGGTAAAAAATTTATTGTGGGTGTCACAATGCTGATGTCTATAGCTTCTATACAATTGCTGTTCATGTAATAACTAATGCTCTGAAAAAATAATGTAATATCCACATTCTTGTTTAGTGTGCTGCTGTTTTACAGCTGGAAAGCTGCAAAATATACTGTAAAACAAATTACTAAGCTACAGTCCATTTATTTCAGTGGGTCTGTTATACATGTGACTAATTTGAATTCAGTATAATTCATTGTTTAATGAAAGAATAAAATGCTTCCATGAGAAACAAGTTTAGCATATATAATGGATATATTTTTAAAAATAATCTATAGATAGCTATAATCTTTTGTTAGTGGAATAAATGGATGTTCTCAGAATGAATTTGCCCCTGTAAAAAAGATAGTTGGCATATCCTGTTTTCTACAGATTTGCTATTATCTGTACTGGTATATGGTTTCCGGCATGAACCTCTTGTAGTCCTTTTGAAACCAGTCAACTGCACCTGTGGTATGGAGGCCTCAGTGAGCCTGGGGTTACCATTCATTTTTATGAGAGTTGGTTAGAGTCAGTCTCCTCTGTTATTAACACAGAATGTTTTCATCTCACAGAAGATGAAAACCTCTTATAGTCAAACATTCGTTTATATCAATTTCTAGCTACTTAACTGCAGTCTGAGAGTACAGTTTCTCACAACAAGATGGATAATTCATATCTTTTGTTGATTCGATCTTGCCTGAGAGTAAGCCCCATTGAACTTAGGCAAGCTGTTGAACCGTCTAGTTCCTTTTCCTTTGCTTTTCTTGTTAATGAGACAAGCACAAGCCTGAGCACTTTGAAGCATATCTGTTGGGTTTTGTTTCCTTTAATTTACACTTCAGATAAATTGAAAAGCTTTTTGATGACTTAGGAAAGCTCACTCCAGCCAAGTTTGAGAAGTGGTGGAATACAGGAACTCTAGAGATGAAGGGGTAAATATTATCCATGTTAAATGGTTTGTAAACTAAAAATGTCATCTAGGCTAGTGTAGCTTTAGTTTTTAATCTTCTATAACTGGTAGGTACAAGAAAATGCACACTGAGCTTTATAAATACAATGGGTTTTTAACTTTAGCACAAATATTCTTTCTGTGTCTTCAAAAGGTATCTTTTGATTCAACAAAACATCTGAGCGATGCCTCAATTAAGAAACGTCAGCTTGAAAGGCAGAAACTCCAAGAACTTGAAAAACAAAGAGAAGAACAAAAACGTAAAGAAAAAGAAGCAGAGGAAAGGCAAAAAGAAGAAGAAAGGTGGTTGTTGTACCTTCCAATTTCTATCTTTCTTTAAATTTTCTGTAGTTGTAAATTGTAACATTTGTATAACTAGTATTTTTGATCAATTTCAGCCAAATTATTAGTAGATTTTAGGGTATTTTTCTTTGTAATTTGTATTTCTGGGATTTTTGAAAAGTAATCTTTTAAGGAATCAGGTGGAGTTTACTAAAATGGAAGCCTAGCATTTGATATATGCATCTGAAAATCTTGTACTTCACCTACAAACTATATATGCTATAGGCTTTTGCATGCAGTAGTAAAGTAAATCTGTCTCAGAAAAGAACAGTTTGCAGCTGAGGCTTCTTCCACGTACAGTTATACAACCTAACTTTTAAAACTAGGCAGACTTCTAATAAGTGTCTGTAAGGAATACATGAGACAAGTCCTCTAGACCTAGAACAATCTATCAGATTGTTCAGATAATAGTCTTCAGTCATTAGTGAACTATTTCAAAATAATCCTATGGACATTGTGCTCCTCTAAGCGACACAGGGATTTCAAAATTAGTTTTGTGCCAATTAGAAGGCATAAAGTCCTTTGTCCATGGTATATCAAAATGTGAGCAGTACACGTTTCCTACCTTTTTATAATATTGCCTTTAGAGTAAGAATGGGTTTTATGACCAATACAATTTGTTGAACAAGCAACAAGATTATGATTTTCTGGAGACTTGGCATCTGTTGCTGTACTGTTACATCCGTTCTTCATACATTTAAAAAACCAGAAGTTTTACTTTTTTATTGGCCACTGGGAAAGCATGCACGCATCTTAGTTTGCTTGTTTTGTGACTTGGGTTTCTACTTTTCTTCTGACTGGGTTTAGAATATGCATCATGGCTCAAGGTAAGTTATTTAACCTATGATGAGCTGTGGTGCCCATGGGTATGTCCTTTTCAGGGCTTTTCTCTCCACTAAATGTGGGAAGCATGAACTATGTGAAGGTTAAACAATCTTCACATAAACATTAAAACAGATCTTGTATAACCCTCATCTAAGCCTTGCTTGCCAGGTTCACATTCAAAATGGTCCTTCACGACTATGCAGACTTGCAGTGAATTAAATATCCTATGGAGGGCTATCATGTTGTGCTATCTGGAAAAGCTGCAGTCCTATACTTAGGCGGTTTCACAGAAATTGGTGGGACCAGACCTTCAGTATTTCACTTAAAGCATAAATTATAGCTTCATTTTGTTTAAAGTGTAGTAACAATCTGAAATGATATCCATTTTGTCTAAAATAATGTGCCTCTTTAGGAAACAGAAAGAACTTGAAGAATTAGAAAGAGAGAAAAAAAGGGAAGAAAAATTGCGAAAAAGAGAACAGAAACAAAGGGATCGTGAAATTCGTAAAAACAAAAAAAGGCTTGAAAGAATACAAGCTGAAGAGCAAAAAAAACTTCAGGAAAAAATAAAACTAGAGGAGCGGAAGCTTCTTTTAGCTCAGAGAAACCTTCAGTCCATTCGACTAATTGCTGAATTGTTGAGCAGAGCCAAGGTAACTGGGTGTTGTGGGGGCATGCTTCTGTGGAAAAGTGGTATTTTTGACTGCAGGTATTAAATGTAGATTCTTTTAGATGTGTCTGGCTTCTCCTGCTTTCATGCTTTCCAGCTGTTGCATAATTTGCTTGTTCTAGAATCCTAAAAATAGCATTAATAGCACTTTGCTTTTAGCATTAAATTTTCTCTTGCCTAACAGCCAAATCCCGTCTTTACCCTCTTTCCCTTTTGGAGAAGTAGGCCACTGTCTTGTGCGCTGAAATCCATGCAGAAAGGACACATATCTGGCAGCTGTGAGATGCAACAAAGTATCAGGAGCTACTATTCAAGGCCATACCTCTTTCTAGCATCATTGTCTCAGTCCAGCAAAGATAATTGATACAATCGTGGAGAAATCTAATCTATTGGTACAAGCTAAACCCTTCTAACAAGTCAGTCAGGTAGAATAAAGACACTAACCCTTCTCTGTTCTAATTCCCCTGAAGTCTATTCTAATTCCAAGCATCCAGAAGTTGTTGTTTAAGCTGTTTGTTTTCAGTCAATCGAGAATGTGCAATAATGTTGGTTGCAAAAATTAATGAGTATGTAATGTATAAATGATCAACCCTGACTTTTGAGGTAGTTGATTAAGTTGTTCATACTTGTTTCCTAGGATCTGGACAGAATCCATTTCAGAGAGACTGTTTGACTGTATTAGTAACTTAACAAGCAAGAAATCTTTAAACTGCAGGTTTTTTCTTGCTGTGTTTGTCTCTAAGGTTTCCTTTCTGAAGCAGTGAAAGACTGACTTTGTTACAGAATCAGCATGTTGTTATACACATATAGGATTAAAGTAAACATCCTCTTCTATATTCTTAGGCAATAAAGCTTTTGGAACAAGAACACCATGAGGAAAAAGTCCGCCTTCAGCAGTTGGAAGAGAGGAGACGGGTGCAAGAAGCTGAACTTCGACGTGTAGAGGAAGAAAAGGAAAGAGCTCTTGGACTGCAAAGAAAAGAGAAAGAATTGAGAGAGAAACTGTTAAGCAATCTCATGAGCAAGAAAATAGAAGTAACCTATCAGAAAAACACTGAACCTAATACACTGCAATCTACCCCTTTGAAAACGCTTGTGTGTATTCCATACTGCATCACATCTACCTCAGTACAGTCTGTTTTGGCAAAACCAGCTCATCCCTGTCAAAGGAGTGTGACAACTAATGAAAGCCTAGGGAAGTACTTAAATGGGAGCCTTCATGAGGAAGCTCTCATCAGTGGCCCTAAGATCAATATCATTAGTAGAGACACAGTTTCTGCTGAAAGTAGTTCAGGTGTTCTTTCATGTATCCCTGCAAATCAACAACACAAGAGCACAGCAGACCATGAGCAGACCATCTGTAAGAAGGACTTACCACCCGAACAAGGCAAGTGTAACAGAGAGCCAAGCAAAGGGAAGAGTCACTCATGCAGAGATGTGCATAACCATCATAGCAAAGATAAAATTGAAAAAAGCAGACACAGAAGGGACTTAAGTAGTGAGGATGAAAAGTGCAGAAAAGAGAGACGCCTCCATAAAAAATACTCTACAAAAAGTAGCCCTCGTCACCAAAGAAGCTTAAGTCGAGAACACGGACGACATCGGCAAGCCTGTAGTAGTGACAGTGAGCAGGATAAAAGAGGACGTAGTCATGGTCACAAGAGCATGAGCAGGAAACAAAAACACCGGAAGAGATCTTTGAGTAACCAAAGAAGCACTTGGAGTAGGTAATAAGAAGACTTAACCTTCTGTAAGGTCTGTCTAAGAAATGACTGGAGTGGACTCCTCCAGTGCAGGAAGGGAAAGAAGACTAATAGGAAATTTTACTTGAATATAGTTTATGAAGACGAGAGACATATAACCAAACTTTTCAAAATACGTTTCAGACTTCTTACCTGTTGACTCTGTGCTGGCTTACTGCAGTACCATAAATTCTTACTGTTCTTGCTTACATTTTCTCTGCGATAATTAGCCTAATTAGGCTTTCATCATTTCACATTTTTCTAAATTCTCCCCTTTCGTCCGTTTTAGCAATGACAGCAATCTTTTATTTAAGAACTGGCATGTGTATGTTTCTAATAAGACATGTAAACTTGGCAAGTGGCTGTATACTTGATTCACAGGAATTGAATGATTCCATGCAGGTTTTTTTGCTATAAGAATTGGTGCTAGATGCAACCATATTTTTATACAGTGCTGTGATGCCTTCTTTGCTATTTTTGACAATTGCATACTTGATAGATTGATACAGGGCCTAAATTGTCATGATGTTTGTTATTTTCCATGTTTTAGAATTCTGTTTCATTTTTAAAAAGTTCCAAATCTTTTGGAACCTCTGAAAAAGTAGACACAGATGCTGCGCACAGCAGTTGCATTAACATTTGTGTTCAAAACATTGGTTGTTCTTTACATGCAATTTTGTAGATGTCTGTATTTTGAAAGAGGGGCCTTCCTGCTAAATTATTTTTATGTGCAATGTTCTGGTTCAGAGTTGTATTTTCTCTTTTTTTATAACATCTTTGCTTCTGGAAATGAAGCTCAGGAATTCCCCAAGTTATCACCTCAGTGCAAAACCAGCTTTTTTTACCATCTGATGGTAAAACCAGAGAGCCAATGTCAGTGAACCCAAAACACTGCTTCACATTTCGGTACATTAAAGATCTATACATGTACACCATTAAATCTGATTTGGTTTGTGTTTGTTTAAATAATTACTGGACAATACAGATTATTCAACATGATATAGGTTGATTTTAAGGTTATCTGTCCTTGACCAGGAAAGGCAGTTTTTACTTTTTTTATTTTTCTGTATTGCTTTTTTGTTTTTTCTTGGGGCAGGAATGCATTTGTAGATCTTTTATGTATTGATAAAGAACATTAATTTCTCCCTTTCCTCTGCACAAAAACTGCTTGTGCAGATGATATCTTAAATATAATGCTGTAAATCTCTTTTCAAATGATGCCTCGATCATATTCTATATTTTCCATAGGTTTTTAAAGTTAATGTAAGCTGGAGGTTTTTAAGTTTGATTTGTGGGAACATGTGCTGTACCAGGATGCTACCATTTCTGTAAACAAATTGACACTGATCATCTGTTGTCAGCATGAAGTGGGAACCAGTGCCAATGGGTTCTTTAGCTGCAAACAACACAGCAGTTAACTGGACGACAAACCTTGAATTAACTGCTGGGTCCTAAAAAGCCATTGGTCTGCACATCATGTTCTTGAAACAGGTTGCCAGGTGTGTATCCTGGCAAATCCATGCCATTTGCGGGCTGGGTTTGTGTGTTCTAATGTAATTCACTCAGTACACAGAACTTTAGCAGTGTTTGCTACCAGCTGCAACTATGTTGAATGCTGCACAGGAATGGGGCTTGTGACAGACTTTTTAGGGTTACTTAAATTGCTGTGTAAAGGGGGAGATAGAAAAGTCCCACTGCACCACGAGACGCCATCTCCCAGGTCTTTTGATCACCATTCATAGTTTGTATTTGCAAAGTGCACTAAGGAAAGGCTCCATAATATGAGGTACCCTTTTCATTATGAATAAAGTGTGCTCTAGACCTCCAGTTAATTATTCTAGTAATTTAAGTGTTTCAAATCAAAGGTGCAGATGCATTTCTAAAATGAAAAAGGTAAACAGTTGCTAGTGGTACCTTTCTCACTGTTTTGTTTTCATTTGTGCTATAAACTTAAAAAGCTGAGCATTAAAAATGCAGTTTTTAAGGAGCAGTTACCACTATGCCACTGTGGCCTTCTTTTCACCCATAGTATCAAGGAGGGAAACCACCCTTATGCAGTAAACATATCCTTGCTTCCTTTGCCACCTGTGGTTTTAAAATAATGTTCCTTTTAACATAATGTATTTGTGAATTCCTAGCCTCAAAGTGAGGGGCCAGTTTTGAAAGGAGCATCAATCTGCATTTATTATTTTCATCCACTGCTTTTACTGTGAAAAAAAGTTGTGTGATGTTGGTTCTTTCTGTAATATCTCTAATTCAGCAAGAATTTTCCCTTGGGACAAAAGAAATTTTGTTTTGATGAAGCATTGTATGAGATAATAGCATGGATTAATCAAACAGCTAGAGACCAAATGCATTTATGCAAATCAGATTTGATCAGGCTATAAAGTTATAATCTTATCACAAGAAGTGGAAACAAAGATTCAAATCTTTAGTCAACTAATTTCCTTATCAGCAGTCTGGTATCTGCATCATAGTACCTATTATAAAGGTTCATAGCTGCTGCCAAGACAGCCCTTTTTGTGTAGGGTACAATCCTACACACACTGACTTAGGAGTAAGTCTCCATGAACTTAATGACACTTATCTCTGAGTAGACATTCATAGGCTTGTGCTGTAAAGTTAGTTACATTCTCTGCAAATCAAAGTTAGGTAGCAGACTCTACAGTTTCAGCACCAAAGTCAGCTAGTAGTGTTGTGAGGTATTGAGAACATGTTCAGACACACACACACACACACACACACACACACACACACACACACTAACTTACGTGCCTATAAGTTGCTGAGTCTAGGTTTGCATGTAATGAGAGGCTACCCTGGGGGAATTTTGCTGTTTTTGTTGAATCAGTTGCTGCCATTGTGAATATTTGAGTATGGCGGGGGGCACCATAGTTTATACTTACATGCAAACTCAAAGAAGTTGGATTGTTGCAATGGTCGACAAGCCACCCAGAATCCCAAAACAGTACAACTAAGCCTCACTGAATTTGAAAACCTGTGGCAGCAAGGGCTTGGTTTGCAAAATTAATCCCTGTAGGCACTATAACCCAACATGGCTAATAAGTCATGGTGGGCTGAGATGATTGTGCAAACCAGGGCAGAGAATGCCTTTTAAAATTTTAAACAGGAACTGAACACAAACCAATTGTTAAGCTCTACTCTGAGTGGGCTCCTAACAAGACTACAGAACCACCAGTCCTTCATCTGATGACCTCAGTGACCAAAGGGGCTGATAAGGAAGAAAGCACCTGGTCCCAAGCTATTTGGGGCTTTATACACCAGCAGTAAAACTCCAAACTTGATCCTGTAACAAATAGGCAGCCTGGATAGTAGAAGTGCTATGTGTTGAAATGAGACCGCTCCCAACAACAGTTTATCTGCTGAAACAACTTCCAGATCATCCTTAAGGGCAGTCTTACATAGAGTGTGTTACTACAATCCAGTCTTGAGATTACTAGTAGTACTAGACTACAATAGGTTCTTTCAGAAGGAGGACAGCCGCATCCAGATGCACTTACCCGTATATCCTGGGCTTGTGAACTACTCACCCACAGGACCTTCACCTTGCCAGGTTTCAACTTCAGTTTACTGGCTCTCATCCAGCAACTTGTTGAGTTTAGGCATTGATCCAATACTTGCACAGCCTCATTTGATTGTGAATCAGATGCCACAGGGAAATAGAATTGTAGGTGTTGTCAGAATACTGACTGTATTTTGTTTCCAGTCCCCCTAATAACTGCTTCCCTCTGTTCATATAGATATTAAGGACAAGATGGTACTTTGTGGAACCCTATAGCTTATTTGCCAAGGGCCCAAACAATAGTGACCCAATGTCACTTTCAAAATCAGCCCTGCTGGTATCCTGGAACCATTGCAGCACTGCACAGGAGTCAATCCCGGAGGATACCATGACTGATGGTATTAAAAGCCAATGAGGGCTCAAAATTAAGATGGGCTGCATACTCACGTCAATAAATTCACCCCTCAGGGTAAATCCTACAATCAGGCTGAAATAGATTCAGTTGTTCAAATGTCACCATCTCAAGTATCTTCCCCCTCAAAAGGGCATTTGCAACTGAACAGTTGTTAAATATCATTGGGTCCAAGTGTGAATTTCTTCATCCCTTTATGCAGTGATGCAGAATTTCACTGCTGGGCTTTTGTCAGTCAGTGGAATTTTCAAGAACCAATAGAATATAGAATTGGACTTGTATTGGAGATGGGTTTAAATGTACATTTATCTATGAAGGTTTAGTCAACTTCTTTCATCCGCACTTCCCCGAGCTTTACCTACCTAACTGGGTGTTTTGGGGATAAAATGGCATAAACCCTATAAAGGACACCCAATACATCTTGGAAACTGGTTATGTTTCAATAACCCCAGTCTTAAGCAGTCTAGGAAATGGTTTTTCTTTATGCAAACTGTTGATCCACTTCCCAAAATCTGTAATGAGTTTGTTACATTCTGTAATTCCATTATACAGGAATACCCATGACTGTATTATTCAGTTAACTGGGAAATTCTTCATATCATTTTTGTTTGCGAAAGCAAATGATATAGCTATGAAGCCTATGTATTTCTCTGCAGCATTTGCTTTTGGGCACCAGTCTAGCAATGCACAATGAAGTTAGTATAAAATGCACACCATTATATAACATATATCCTACTAAGAGCCATTGTGGTGTTGCAGTTAGATTGTTGGACTGGGGACCTGGGAGATTCAGGTTCTACTCTCTACCATGAAGCTTAAGGATTGACTTTGGACCAGCCATTCATTTTCAGTCCAACCTACATCAAAGAGTTCTTCTTATGAGAATAAAATGGAGTTATGTAAACCTCTTAGAGTTCCTCACAAGAAGGAAAAAGGTAGGATATAAACACAATATAATATTTTGTAGTATTATAGTAGATTTAGTAGATCTACTTTATTATAATAGATTTTGTAGGGGTGAGTAAATTTAGGTTTATGGAGAAAGATTCATGTTCATTTTGGATGCTTCAGCCTCCCTCACAGGAAAGATGCTCTACTCCCTTATTCCTAGTAATTCCCCACACCTTTTTCTAACTCCAAAATGTCCTTTTTGATAGGGCCAATGAGCTGTTTACAATCTTTCCAGCCATGAATTCAGGAGAGCTAAGCCAAGAGCTCTTTTCAGGACTTTTCTTTTTGAACCTGATTTCAGATGATAACTTCAAATATTTTGCATAAATGCATTATGATGTTCTTATGCCTGACAAATGTTATCTGTTGGAAGAGGAAATATGCTTTCAGATCTAAAAGAGTAACAGATTTTCATAACAAGAACTTTAGAGTATTAGGCTTGGATACCTTTAAAATATTCTTGGTGAGTCAAGGCAATCCACATTTATCCTCTTCATATTCTAATAAGAGCTCATGCAGGGTTTGCAAAATGTTCAGTCAGTTTAGTCCTTGGAGTTCAGAGGACCTACAATCCTCTTCAGATTTACTTATAAATCCTTTTAGCTGATTATCTTGAGTATCCTCAAGGCACAGCTGCTGTTTGAGCTGGAGTGGAAAGATACTTCTTGTATCAGGTTTTCATAAATGACACCCTTTCTACATGTAGCGTGATATTTTAAATAAACAGCGATACTTCACTTTTTAAAGTCAGAATTGCTGAGTCTTAGATATGCTATTTCTTTTTCATATCAACCTCAAATCAATGTAATCAAATGATTAATAAAAATTACATCTATATAGAACTTCAAATGTTGCTTTATATGTTACATAAAGAACTTTAAATGCACATTATATGGCTGATGTGATGTAATTGTACCCACAGATTTATTTTTCTTCCCTTGATAATCACCCATAGGAAAAGTTAATTTTAAAAGTTTTTGTAGTAATTCCACCCATAGATGCAGGGAGTGAAGCTGAGAGAATGGCTTGCTCAATCTAAAAGTAATTGTGACAGGTGAAATTTGAATGGGAATTTTCCTGATGTGTAGCTCACTCTCTTAGCTTCTTTCCTAAGTGTGCAAAATTCCAGATGTTTTGGCCTACAACTGCCATCATCCTTTACCTTTGGCTGATGGGAATTGAAAACCACAAGTTTCCTCTCCCTGCCCTATCCCATATCAGTTCTCAGTTAAGTTGATGAGGCTGTTTTGGTGGTTCAGGTTGGCTAATCTGTGATCTCTGCTGAAAATAGAGAAAGAACTCTGTTCACTCCAAAGAATCATATTCATTTATTTTCATATTGGTCATGTCTATAAGAAATATAACTAGTCCAACCAAGTTAACTATATTAGTACCAGTATATTTAAATTTAAAACCTAGGGGGAAATATTTGTGACTAGCTGAGAACATTGCTATCATAGAAAAGGGCGAGATATTGTCTGCTTACTCTGTCCCACACTAAACTTTTTATAGAATCTCTATACATACATACCTACATATATACAAATGTCCTTTTCACACAGATAACTGACCTTGAAAGCTCAACACCAGTGGTCACATCTTAAATTCCATTGTGCTAATTCCAGACTTAGGCATGTTTAGATGAGATCTATTAGTCACAATTGACTTGCCCAATTGATTCCAATGGGTCTTCTCTAAGCATGGCTAAGTCTAGATCCAACCCAATCTATCAGATAATTGTTCAGTTCTTTCTAATTTGTGTCCTAAAACCTTTCCAAGGAGTCCACTTTAATCTAAGCAAATAAACGTATGACCGTGTGCCTCTGTAGAAGAAAGAGCTCACTCAGCATATTTTGTTCCAATATGGGACATATGTATGTCCAGAGTGGTATTAGTACAGTTAAACTTGACTACCCAGAATGATCTGTGCCTAAAGGCAAAAGAGGCTTATTTAAATGAAGAGGGAAAGCGGATTTCTCCCAGAGCAGAGAAGAAAAATGAGCTCTACAGAAGACCTCGAATATCCTCATATCCTGATTCAGTACCAGAATGGGTTTTTAATATCAAAGGTAAGGTTAAAAAAAATCTTATAAATATTAAACTGGAAAGTAGTATATGATTTGTAAATGGCTTTGAAATGGCAATGTGTAGAAACCTGACACAGTAGCTAGGAAAACCTTTTAACTGGCTTATAACAATTTTAGTTTGAACTGGAATGGTGGATAGATTGTGCTGGAATGGATATCAACTTTATTAGTTGGACTAACAACAAAATAATTGATCTAAGAAAGACCCATGAATTAGGATCCAGTCTGGATTGATTTGAATCCAGGGTAACTTTAACGTAATCTAGAAATAAAAATTTGTCAAATAAATTGTTTTGCCAGACAAATCTTTTCACATTCTGAAGCCTTTTCAGTGCTTGGGTTAAAAAGATAACATGTTTGAAATTCTTGGATAATAATTCTTAAAATTCCAAATTGCAGCACCAGTGAAGGAAAGACCTTACTTAACTATATATCTCCCACAGAAGTTTCCTACCATCACTTTTTTTTGTATGCAGAAAATTTGTTTCCTTAGCTCAGTATCTTTGTAGGACTTGTTTCTTTACTTCAGTATTTAGGATGTGGAGAAAAAACTCAGCAGAGCAAAACCAATTCTGAATTACCTTTTGATCCAATTATAAACTATCATTCACTGGTGTGAAGAAAGGAACCCCTATTGTGTAAAATTACCACCCCAAAATAAATTTTAAATTATCTCAAAGATGGGTTCCATTACCAAGAGAAATGGAAAGATTTTGTAAATCTGAAGGAAGGTGGGAATTGCCCTTAAAAGTATAATTTTCAATCATGCTGAAATTTATTAATAAATTCAGTCCAGCACTATCTAAAAGGGGAATCATCCCTAAAATATTCATGGTAAAGCAAAATATTAGATCAGGCACATTTAGTGATCTTTTATTAAAATGCTAATGACAGAGATAAATCTGATGCTGGAATTAAAAAGGTGGAAACAGCCTACTGATGTGGTTTTAATATGACACCTTTTAAAATTTGGTATGAGAACCAAAAAGGTGTGAGAGATCTCTAGATCACAAATGGCAACCATGGTATACAATCAAGTCAAGAATGTGGTATACCTGGATTTCTTTTCATTAATGACATGGAAGAAGGGGTGAACAGTCTGCTGATCAAATTCGCAGAACTAAAACTGGAGCAGTGACCGCAACTGAGGAGCAGGTACTCCAGATCCAAAAGGATCTGGACAGACTATGGAAGTGGGCAGGAGACAACAGGATGGTGTTCAATGTGGATAAGTGCAAGGTCTTGCACTTGGGGCATAGGAATAGGTGTCATAAGTACAGGTTAGGGGACAAGTGGCTGGAGAGCAGCACTTGTGAAAGGGACCTCGGGGTACTGGTTGACTGCAGGCTAAACATGAGTCAGCAGTGTGATGCAGTGGTCAAGAGGGCGAACACCACCCTTGGTTGCATAGCCAGAAGTGTGACTTCTAGATTAAAAGGGGTATTACTACCACTCTATATGACTCGGTGTGCCCACAACTGGAGTATTGTGCTCAGTTTTGGGCCCCTCATTACAGAAAGGATATACCCAGGTTAGAGTCAGGGCAGCATAGGGCCACAGGGTTGGTGGCTGGTTTGCAGGGGATGGGGTATGAGGCGAGACTGAGGGAACTGGGTCTCTTCAGCCTGGAGAAGAGGAGACTCAGAGGGGATATGTTGGCGACATACAGGTATGTGAGGGGATGTCACATGGAGATGGGTAGAGACCTGTTCTCCCCTGCAGAGGAAGGCAGGACGCACTCCAACGGAGCAAAGCTCAGGGAGCCAAGGTTCCATTTGGATGCCAGGAAGCACTTCCTGACAGTCAGGACCCCGAGGGTGTGCAATGGGCTTCCACGGGAGGTCGTTGAGGCCCCATCGATGAGGGTGTTCAAAGATAGGCTGGACATGCACATGGTGGGCATGTCATGAGTGGAGCCAGCTGGTGCCGGAGGTCAGACTAGATGGCCCAGGAGACCCCTTCTGACTCACTCTGTTTCTATGTACAACTTGCAGTCTCAAGGTTGCAAGTAGTTGTTGACTTGTTCCCTTGTGGCTTTTGAGATCACTGATTTTACACTGCTGGCAGTGGTGGAAAAATGATCCCGTGATCTCCACATCTGAACTGGGTGGGGAGTGCAAGGCACTGGATGTGGCCTTGTGGGCTGAAAAGCTTCTAGTCTCTTTCTGCCTTCTAGTGGCACCCCTGTTGGCAAACCTGTGTGCTCTTTCTCTCTTTGTGCCTTTCATTATTATTTTTTCTTCTTTCTCTCCTTTCCTTCGCATTTAGGTTTTGTTTGCTGCCTGTGAGCTCGGAGTGTTTGATCTGTTGAGAAACTCGGAAGATGCCTTGTCTTCAAAGGCCATAGCTGAACAGCTTGGCAGCAGCGCCCATGGAATGGAAAGGCTGCTGGATGCTTGTGCAGGTTTAAAGCTCCTGCGGGTTGAGGTGAAAAAGGAAGGAGGTAATCATATCTGAAGGAAACACACCAATCTCTGGCTTCTGCACTATCTGCACCTTGAGACAGATAAGATAACTGTTTGAGAAAGTTGAAGGTGGTTTGAACGTTGCTTGCTGCTTGTATACCCATCCTATTTCCAGCTTTGGCAATGCCCCCCCCCCACCCCCCATGTTGTTTCAGAAATGTGCTAAGTTGTGTGGCTACAGGCAACAGCAGGACAAAAGAAATTGGTGCGTTACACCATGAGAAGCATTTTTTAAAGGTATTTCTATACCATTTGATTAGATGAGCCCTCAGAATGGTTCACAGAATATACTTTTAAAAAATCGATAATAATTAATTTAAACACAACTGGAAAACAACCTTGCCTGCCATAGAACAACAACATAACAATAAAACTTGACAGGCTGTGGTAAAACGATAACAATAACATAATAACCATTCCACCTGTACCAAACAGTTTAAAACCAATAAAATACTACCTCTCTTCAATCACTTTCAGCTCTTTTATTCCTACTACTACTACTACTACTACTAATTTATTTAAATAATAAGCACTCTATAGTAAGCACTCACAGAACAGTGTACAGTTATTTAAAATCACATCAAACATAAGACTGCTTTCAAAAACCACTGTTTGTTTTAACCAGCTCTTCCTTGCACTGCCAAAATCCCCAAGTTTCAAAAGTGCTCTATTGTCAAATGGCAAGTGGGATTTGGGCTGGGGAGTGCAGAAACATACTCAGGTGCCCCTTACCTGAGAGAAACCCATTGTATTCTGCTGCCTCTGGAGAAGATAGTTGAAGTACACTGACCTCCATACATATATTTCTGTGCATCTTAAGGCTCTCATTGGGTTAAGGCAACAGGTATCGGCAGAGAAAATATTCACCTTGGCTGGATGAATTAGAACTAGAAATAAAACATTTGGTCACTTTTGCTTAAAAGATGGAGGAGGAAAGGTTAGTCAGCCACTTATTATTTATTTGCTTACTTACAGGATGTATATATCTAATAGGATTTCCAAGTGGTGGGCAGTAAAAATAAAGATACAGTATTAAAATATTTTAAATCAAAGTATGCTAAGAAAAACGTGGCCAGGAAGGCTTCTTTTAATGAAAAAAAGGCAAGCATTAAAAGTGAAATAACAGCACCTGCTTAACCTGAAGAGGTGGGACGTTCTGCACAGAGAGAGCCAATCCATTGATGGCTCTCATTGGACTGGGGTGCAAATCCCACAAGTCCCTGTGTTACCACCAGGACAGCTTCATTTTCAGACCCGAATAATGCCCATAACAGAACCCTCTGACTATACACGTACATGCACAGAATGGCAATGGACAGTCGGAAGAAACTCACTGCAAAACTGGATTCTGGGGTTTTGCAGTTCCAGAACCCATTACAAGGGTCCTGCTCCCCAGAAGGTTCAGCACCACGTCATCTACTCTGATATGAGATCAGCACCATGCGGATTCCATAAGGGTAGCCTGGGCTGCAGGGACTGAGAGAGACTTCATGGGGAATAAAAAAAGACTTCAAGGGTGTGTGACTGTGGGAAGAGGTTAGGAGGTTGGGATCCATGGACATATTGATCATCACTCCAAATCTCCCCAAAGTGACCCATACAATTGCTTATTTGCACATTTACTGAAGGATGTAAGTCGTTGCTGGAATTTATCAGTGTCTGAAAAGTATCAATTTCTAAAATGAGCAGAAAAAAAGAAAGGAAAAGAAATATGATCTGCACCATTCTTGGGGTTAGTCCTAGCAACATTGGCAGTTATTTTTAAGGAGGCTTCTTAAATATCCCATGATTCCCTAATGTATTGAAAAAGAATTCATGATAAATCAAAGTGAATGCAGTACACCATTTCCCCACTCCAATGATTGCAAATAGTATACTCTCTTCATTTTTCTTGATGCTTTGGTGTAAAGGCAAGCATCTTGCAGTAGGTTCTTCCAAGTGTTAAAATTAACAAGGAGTAAAATGCATTCAGCATGCAGTAAAGTAATCAGAAAAGATAAAACATGTGGTAAACAGACCATGCAATGCTTGAAGCTGGTGTTCCTGAATGGAATTAATGTAGGTCTGTAAGGGGATGCCACCGAAATTGTTCTTGATGTGGGCAAAGGAATTGCGCAGATGCATTTTTCTTGCTAATAATGGATCAGAAATGTTGTTTCTATTGTGTAAAATATTGGTTTTCTTTCTTTGTTTTTTTAGTGTTTTATGGAAACACAGAAGTAGCCAATCTTTATCTCACAAAGTCAAGTCCAAAGTCTCAGTATCATAATTTGATGTACTACTCAAAAACCATCTACCTGTGCTGGCACTACTTGACCGATGCTGTAAGGTGAGGTGGAGGCCACAGGAGCCTATGCTTATCACACAAACCTCCTTGGGATGAAGCATTACATTACCTTAAATCTCTGTCTTCAGGGGGAGTAGGAAAGATAAATTTAAATATATGATTTTCCTGAAAAGGATAATGAAGTGTGCATTGTTTGTCCAGGACTACTGTAAAGTTACAGCCTTATTGCTATTTGTATTTACATAATACTGCACACCAAATGCTGAAACTGAGCTGATGCTGTGACTTCAGAGGACAAGCTCAGTGCAGGTGTGACAAAATCACCTAGGGAACACTTAGTCATAACAACCCTATTTGTGGAAATGTTTCTCTGGGGGATCCTTCCTGAAGGGTAACCAGCACAAAGGCACGGAGATGCAATTTGATCCTGTTGTCTGGGAGGGAAGAAAAAGAAATGCCACAAGGCTGTGTTTTGTAGCTAATGAGAAGCACCTTGTGGTTCTGCTGGCATCAGTGGAGTTGTTATTGTTACATCATCTTGCACAATACCTGTTGGAATGAATGGGAATTGTGCAAGGGTTGTTCCAAATATTTTTGCCTTTGCAAACATGTAAAAATGTAAGATTGCCCATTTTAAGATCATATTTGAAAGAAACAAAGATGAGTGTAGCATCTTGAAGCTGTGGCCCTTGTCTGAGATCCAGCTGAATCTGTAAGGAAGGGGGACACATAAAGCGCCACATAGAGGGGAAGGTAGGGAAGGAGTAGGGAAGGAAATATGATTATAAACCATTTACACACACATGTGAACACACTGAAGAATGTCATTCTCAGAAAAGATGATACAGTAAGAAGGGAAAGCTAAATTGGTATCTTTTTTCCTAAGTTGCAACGCACTGTATTGCAGTCTGCTTCTATTTTATAGAAGAAATGTTCTTGATTTATACTTTATGTGAATGGTTTAAAATGCAATTTATATACTGCTGCCTCTGGAGAAGATAGTTGAAGTAGATTGACCTCCATACATATATTTCTGTGCATCTTAAGGCTCTCAACCCATTTAACAAGAGGAAGCAGGGCAATGCATAGAAAGCACAGATATTTGTTTTGCCAGAATTTCAACATTCCCAACCTCACGGCAAGCCTTGGGCAAGGCAACTTCAATGGGTCACCTCACCAAGTGAACCTATTTCTCTTCTCCATTGTCATTAACTACTTTTCCAGTTACTGAATGAGCAGGCTGCAGTGATGAAGCAAAAGAGTCACTCCAAGGGCTGGATGGGGGGGGGGGGGTGCTCTCAGCAAGTGCTCGACCATGCCTACCCTGATAACTGACCCCAAGAGTTATAAAAGGGATCAGCATCTTTCACTAACACATGCCATTTTCCTGCAGGAATGTCTCTGTGTGTTTTAAACTCAGTTCTTCATTAAAACAGCATTTTGATCTTTACAGTGTAATCCTATGCATGTCTACTCAGAAGTCTTCCCTATTTTGTTCCATGGGGCTTACCCAAATCATTGGCTCACAGCCTAGGGCCCTAGTCAAAGTGAATGGGAAAGTTTCCAAAGTTCTGGAGGGCAGGGTTTGCTAGGAGTTGTGGGACTTCCTTCCACCTAAACATGCAGAGGATTGCAACTTAAATCATCTTGAGCATGACAAAGTGCTGATGAATTAAATTAAGTGTTTAATTTAACACTTCAGTGGCTGTTTTATGATGATGGTAGCAGTGCTGTTAATTTCTTAGCATTAATCATACTTATAAAAGGATTAAAGTCCTTGACTCATCCACCTATGCACAGATAGAGCAGCTGTAGCTGTTTTATTCAAGAGCCTTCATGGGGGGAGGGAGTATAATGGAGCTTTATGACCTCTTTGACAGGACGATGGCATAAAAGATCGGACGAAATCCATTTTACCTCCACTCCTGAACAGCAGACTGGCATATGTAGCTTTGACAGCCAGACTGAAGAGAAGCAAGTCACATGAAACACTTGGAGTTGCACACTTTGCCTTTGGCTCAGTTAAGAATGAATTCAGCAACTGCAAACTTTCCCATGACTGTGTATGGGGGAAAGGCATCTGTTTTCTGAGAGTCAGAACATGCACGTTGATTGTACTATGCACAGGCACCTTCTCCTAGGTCTCCTTGGGAATTGCGGTTCTCAGCAAGTGTGGCAGAGCAGTCTGCAAATTCAAGACCCCCCCCCCCCGCCCCCACCATACCACCATACCAGGACAAGAACAAGAAGGGCTTTAGATCTCGAGGAGGAAGTTCATCCGCATGAAAGATTCACTAGAAAGAAATCACAAGAGTGGTCCCCCAATATAGAATATGTACATATTGGAAATGTAAGGCTGCTTGCTTGGTTACTGTGGTCACGGGAGTTCAGGCCATCAATGAAAGGTCTTGATGGTGAAGGGACTTCTGTGCATTTGACTTTGTATGCCTTCTCTACTGGACGGTTGACTGCACATAGGCAGAATCTTGATTTATGTTCCAAGCCAAGAAAGACCTTGGTGGAACAGAGGGATGGGTTTTTCTCAAGGTCATGTTTTAGCCAAGGTAATTGCGAACTTCATCAGCATTGCTAACTTTCATGTGGTTCTTTAGGAGAGCATATTTTTATGTCCTGTGAATGGAGCAGAGCTCCTGCAACTTAAAACAAATTGTACTTGCCTGCTTTGTCTTCAGCATTAATGTCATTGTTTCCTAGAAAAGTTGCACACTATAGCCAACACAACACAAACATTTTGAGGAATGTTTCCAATGGCACATTCTTTTGGGGAGATAAAAGTACTCCTTGATATAAATGGCATTGAAAGCTAAGTTAGCAGGCATTTAATTTACTATATCTTTTTTTGAAGGGAAGGGGAAAACCAGTATGAAAAAGCATTTGGCATTTCATCAAAAGATGTCTTTGAAGCTCTTTACAGGTAAAATTCCATTCAATATTCAAACATTAAGAAGGGATTACAGCAGTTGACCTTTGATGAAATGTTTTTCCTCCAAATGGTCAGTTTCATAAAACTCAGTACTGATGTCATGTTTTCTCAGCTAAGACTTTGCAAATATTATCATCTGTCCCATGTAATCAGTTAAAATATACCATATTGGATTAGTTATACTGTTTTGTTTCTTAAGAGTAAACAATGTTCAGAAGAATGCAAAACAGCAAGTATCCCATAATTAAGAATAACATTAATGAATACGGCTTTCATACTGCAATCCCATGGTTTCATACAGGTTTAAAAGCACAATGCATATATGAGCTCTCATCTCTGGAAGAAAGACCTCCCAGACAGCCCTAAACTGCACTATAGGTTGCAGTATATCAATTTTAAAAATAAATACAATAAATGAAGGCCATGCTCATCCACCAAAGGAAAGAAATCTGTGCTTGTTTATTTGCAGATCTGCCTCCTCTGTTGAAATGCGTGGGGAGGTCTGTACAATTAAGAGTCTTGTGGGCTCATTAGAGCACAGACAATCTTTCTAATTAGGATGACAGTATTTGTTTTGAGGTGTCATTTGATGTATGTCAAATAATATCAGCTGCTGTGGGTATCTGTTATGCACTTATCACATACGCAATTTGAAATTTCCAGATCAGAGGAAGAAATGATTAAATTTATGTATGGACTGAATGCAGTTTGGAGCATATGTGGTAGAGATGTGATTGCTGCATTTGATCTTTCTCCTTTCACTGTGATTTATGATCTTGGAGGTAAATTCCTTAAGGTGTTTTTTTTTTAACTTATTTCCCTTTTTCATACATGATGATGTTAAAGTAGTTTAAGGAAAGCATATTTTTATGCTTTCCCTAGTTTAAATAGTCTTGCATTTTAGGCACTTGGCTGCTTAAGGCAGGTACTAAAAATATGGCCACCTGATTGCACAAATAAGCTTTCATTTGACTTCAGTCTTTCATCTGTCCCTGCAGCTGAGGTGAAATCCAGTGCTGTGTAATACAGTGCTGCCTGCCAGGCAACTGCCCCAACCCGGGCTTGTCTATTGTGGTTGGAATGGTAATTTAAAGTAGTCAGGTGTCCCACCTTAGAGAGGATAGTCTCTGTTTGAAGTACATTGATTGGTGTATCCAGACCCAAGAGAAGTTGTGCAACTAGACAGTGCTGTGCCAACGTGGGTTTTCTAGGTCTGAACTTATTCTGCTTTCTTGTGAAAAGGAGGAGCTGGAGCCTTGGCCCAGGAATGTGTTTCACTGTATCCAAATTGTACAGTCACAATTTTTGACCTACCTAAAGTAGTACAGACAACAAAGAAGCATTTTGTGTCTCCAGAGGAGCACAGGATCACTTTCCATGAAGGTAAATGAGTGTTTGGCACTTAAACATTGGCCTTATTTGTTTTTAAAATAAAGAAATAATATCTCCATGGTTCATATTACTACTACATCATGTACATTACATCCCTTGCCCCTGCAAAATGCAGCCCTAGAATATAACCCGAGTTTTTTAGCCTGCATTTCCCTTTGAAATGATGCATTTTCTGAATTCTTAAATATTTACTTAAACAATCACTTTTTATTGTTTTATTTATTAACACTTGGAGCTTTTCTACATGATATGGGCCATCTGATGTATTTAATGCTGGTTTCGTCACAGAATTAAGATTCAAGCACTATAAGGAAGAGTATTTCTAGTCTTGCTTTTCTGATATTCAACCACTAGGGGCACTGTGGTACAGCAGAATAGCACGCGCGCATGAGAAACACATTCTTTTTCACTTTAACAAACTGATACTGCATCTTTCCTGTTCTAAAAGCACTTGCTGGCAGTACTCTTTGGATACATAAGCAAAACTGGAGGATTGTTTATCATGCCCTAAACAACTATTTAGAAGGGAATAGTGAGTGCATGGTATATGCCTCATGTAGAAAAGATCTCTGACTGGAAAATGCATTGTGGGTCTTGATAAGCATTAAGTTCTGGATCTGAACAAGGAATGCCCAGCTAGAGCTTTGCTCTTTTCTGACATGGGAACGTTTGCTCCTAGAATCCTTGCTACATAAGGGAAGATATTGTGCATTTAAAACCCACAGTAGAGATTGCTTATACAAAATGATCAGGCCAACAGTTATATTTGCATGAATCTTTATTCTTAAGTTCTCAACCTGTGTAATCAATAACAAAATAAGGGAAGATGCTTGGTTAAATGGAAATCAATGTGCATTCCCCATCACTTTTTCTTTTTTAATCTATTTATATAGGGGATTTTTTTAAAGATCCCATTCCAGAAGCCAACCTGTATATCTTAGCAAGGGTACTTCATGACTGGGCAGATGAGAAATGTGTACAACTCCTCATAAAGGTGCAGAAAGCCTGCAAAACTGGTATGTATGAGAGCTTGGCCAAACATTCCATCTATCACATCAAAAGTAAAATGCCTTTATTTCTGTGGCATAGTTTTACATATGTTGTACTTAATGTTAGTATTACAACAGAAATACAAAAATAAAACATCAGCAAGTGGTTCCCAATGTGTATTGAAGGAACCTTTTATGGTTTTGATGGGATACAGTAAAGAATTTGTCCAAGGCAGTTTTTGTAGGAAACATTTAAGTATTACATATATTCCTTGATACATTATTTCCTTGAAACATGTTGGGAACCGTCCTTCTGTTATAATCAATCCTTTCAGTAGGCGATATTAAAAAATATAACACCCTGTCCCCAATCAACCATTGGACTTCACTGCCAAAACAGACATTTCTTTCCCTCATGACAAATTGTTTAAATCCAAGAAGCACTTCAAAATGATTGTGATATTCTGTTCTGGTTTACAGGAATTTTATAGAAAAACAAAGGTCGCTCACAGACCCAAATCCTTGCTGTTATATTTCCTGCAGTTCCATATCACTTCTGTTCCTCTATAAACACTGGCACCACCTGGTTAATTTGATCAGCTGATGCTGCAGAGCCCCATAAAGAAAAAATGCACTTTGTACTAAACTTCTGGATTCATGAATTTTGTTTTCCAAACAGGTGGTGCTGTTTTACTAGTTGAGACCCTTCTGAATGAAGACAAAAGTGGGCCATTGGAAAGCCAACTCTGTTCCCTTAACATGCTTGTTCAGACTGAAGGGAAAGAACGGACCTCAACAGAGTACAGCAAACTCCTCATAGCAGCTGGTTTCAAGGCCATTGAAATCAAGAAAACTGGAAAGCTGTATGATGCCGTTTTAGGAAGAAAATAACATGGTCTCTGCCACTTTATTGTAATATGTGCAGATAAAGCAAGAAAAATAATAGGGTTGGTTCAAGTGAAAAAAATGGACCCAACTTGTAATTTAGAGTAGCAATTATGAGTAGCAGTATCATAATGATCCAGTGTTACAGTACCAAATTGTTCAATTACAGAGTCTTATTGTCTTTTCCATCTAGATCCCTTCCCATCACAGCCTTGCTTTCCAATCAGCATAGTACATAAGTCAATAGTCATAGCTATTGACTTGGGCCCCTCTAATGTCATGGAAATGTAATCAGATATGGGGAAGGTGAACTGTTAGTCAAGGTGCACCAACTAACAGTTCCGCTGGAATGGGGGAACTAGAAGGATCACAGAGGCCTTGTGTGAGAAAGAGTTCTTGAGAAAGAACTGAAGACACAGCCAAGGGAAGTGGCTGATGGGTTATTGGAGAGTTGGAAGGGGACTTCATCCATATGGTGCAAAGAAAATTCTAAGTCTTTCATGATGGAATGTTTGTGTTTCCAGTTAAGCAGCCATTTGTACCATTCACTTGCTAAAAGCAGAAAACCTCTGTTTTCCCTCATTTTGTCTGGATCCTGAACTTATCTCTGAGCTATGATTCACCCCTTAACAAACATAGAAATACTCTGATACTGGAGAGTTAGCAACCCTAATCCTAACCCTAAAAAGTGGGGTGGGATGAGGGCAAAAGAAATACTCAATAAATGGCAATCTCTCTCTCTCCTCCCTCCCTCCCTCCCTCCCTCCCTCCCTCCCTCCCTTCCTTCCTTCCTTCCTCAGGTCTAGATCAGTCCTATAATAAAATCCTGTAAAATGAAATTTGTGTCAAGTAGCAGCTTGACATCATCCTCATCATGATAATAATAATAATATTTAATAATAATAAAACATGTTGGCCCAGAAATTAGTTAATAAAAACATCTAACAAACAGGATTTATTGGAATGCCAAAGAGCCCCAGAAAAGTGATTTTTGTGCTATTGTGCAAGGATATCTGGAAGGGCAGCCCTGTTAGTCTGCTGCAGCAAAAACAAAATATGTTTGTAGCACCTTAAATACTAACTGATCCTTTCAGTCATTAGCCAGCCTTCCCAATCAGGTCCCTTCCAATTGTTTTGAAGTACAGCTCCCAGCAGTTGTGACCACTGGCCATGCTGATTGTGCCAGAGGCATAGATTTTTGTGTATTAACAGTCACTTCAGATACACGAGGATTTATCTTGGCATACATGAATATGACTTTAGAAAAGGGAAAAATTGTAAGTAGCCAGGTCAAAGGGGCATGAAATACAAATAAAGTCTGTGTAAAGGTCATGGTAGGTAGGATAAGTTTTGGTTTTTAAATGTTATCTTCATTAATAACTATGATCACATTTGCCATTAGATGGTGCTGCTATGCCAGCTTTCGACTCTAGCTGACAAAAGTATTTCAGAAAAAATGTCTACCTGTCTGCACTGTTCCACTAATTTTCTACAAATTTAGCAAGTGGAAGTCAAGCTAGTCAGACACAACACAAATTCAGTGTAAACCTCCTGAGTAAAAAGTCAGGGTCCCTTGCAAAACACTCCACTACTGGTCAACCTGTGAACTCTGTGTTTGGATTTCATCACATAGAAAGCAGACATGTTGGGTAATTCTATTTTAAGAGCTATGCTCACTTTTCCAAGATTTAAGTCTTGTTGATGTAGACAGGATTCATGTTGGTCTATTTGATGGCTTTTTTCAACGTCTTCTACAATATTAGCATTTGCAAAGATATGGAGGTAACTGGCTTAACCAATGTCACCAGAGGAATGTGATGCTGCAGCAATGAATATCTTTTCTTGCTGCCATTCTCTATTTAGGAATCATCACTTAGCTTGACCAGGAATATGCAGCTTATGAGCTGCAGGCTTTGTTCTGCCCACTAAGGCCATTTTGTAGCTGATGAAGCCTCACGCGTTGGTACTGTGGGGCACCATTAGGTCGGCAGCTCTAGGTGAAAGGAAGAACAGGTTTTGTTGGGAGTCTTCCAGACAAAGCTTTTTTCAATCACCCTGAGTTATTTTCATAATTTCGTTGGGTAATGGTGGGGGAGACAATGTCATCTTCCATCTCTAATCTTCTCATGTTTCATCAGTATTTCCATCTTTTCCTCTCCCTTTCCTTCTTCCTACAAAAACACAAACACGAAACAAAACAACACAACACAACCCAAGCCACCAAGTGGGAAAAGCTACAATAGCTGCTCAATGTGTTTTCATTGGTAGCTCTGAGAGCCCTCTACCTGGAAACATCCTTTGGGTAGAGGTCATGATGATATCTATGTGGCCTGCAGGTGATCTGGGGAAGTAATTATGGCAGCTTTCTTAGGCCATTAGAAAAATTGTGATGTCCTTTTTATTTCTCAGACTGGTCCCCACAGTTAAGTGTTGGGATTGTTAAAGGCGATGGGCCCTGAAGGTTATCTATACCACCCATATAACCCTGACCATAAGCTAAGATCCAGCCCAGTGGTCTTGAGTGCCCACCATTCTGGTTAGGTGCATAATAGCTTCAGGGATAGAATTTTGATTAGAAAAAGTGGTGCAAGGGAAGGAGCTGCTGCTCCAATCAAAATGAGAGTTTCCTGTGATTGCTTTAAGTTTGGAAAACCCAATCTCTGCAGATCCAGTCATGTAACTCCTGCAACTCATCTGTTTTAAGGACTCAACATGGAGTCAAATCCAAATAACCTGCCTGGATCTCCTCTCCTTGGGCAGGTGCAGAGCTCTTTGTATCCTCTTTCTGTGTAGATAGATAGTTTTGGACATACTACCTTTGCTAGATTACACAATGGAGTTTAAGAAGGAGTCTATAATCCTGCTTTCTGGGCCTCAAACTCTACAAACTCATCATAGTACAATAGCTGGAAGAACAACATTTCTTTATTTTTTCCCAGCTTCCATTGCTGAAAGTCAGTAAATATACCTGAATGCTATGAAGCATAAAGGTGACCTTGCCAATAGCTGCTCTTTCAAATAAGTAATTCATTCCAAGTGCTCAGGCTTCCATTTTACATAAACAATAGAGCAGCCTTTTGTAGCAAACATGGAAAACCAGACATGGTACTAAAAATGGAACTGACAGAAAAGTGGCAGACTAAAGAATAGCTGACTCAGAGCTTTTCCTCCATGGCAGCTGGCACAAGCCATTTTGCACAGGTCAAGGGAATGCTTGCAAGGAGGAAGAAAGAAACAGCACGCTAGGTAGTGGCACCCTAATTTCTGATAGCAAAACCACACTTTTTTCCTGAATTAAAATAGGAGAAAGCACTTGCCGTTGAGGAATGAAGAACAAGAAATACAACCCACCCACGAGGCTGCTTGTCTGAAGGGCCATAGGTTGTTCAGCCTTGTTTTAATCCCACTTGATCAAGGTAAAATGTTTAGTTTCCAAAATGTTGAAAAACAGAGAAAAGGCAGGATATTTCTCTGGAAGCTGTCACTCTTGAGCTATTGCTATCTTGTGGTCAAGAAATGGCATAGAGAGAGAGTGATGGAACATGTGCATTTCCTGAGAGAGGCCATGGTGGGGAGGAGAAGGATAGCTGGCAAAAAGTGAGGCTTCCTCCAATGACCATCAAGAGTGACAGCCCTTCAGAAGAGGGTATATAGGGTGATATCCTGCATTGCTAGCACTTGAAGCAACCCCAGGAATGAGTGGAAACACTTGTTTCCAGAATAGGCAGGGCCAGTAGAGCTTTCTTCTGCACCTTTCGGGAAACAAGTCTTCTCACTGAATTCCATTTGTTTCCAGTCCACTGGCTTTCTGCTGAGCTGGTGGTAGGTACTGGTAGCATGCAGGCAGTGCTGGATACTGTCCACGGTTCTCTGAAATGAACTGATTGGAGGGGCTGTATTGGCAGACTGCCTTCCACCCAATTACACTTCTCTGTGTAGAATGAGGGAAAGCCATAGTTCCGGGTGCTTCAACTAGTTCTGGCTATGGAAGCATCACCCAAAGAAGACAAAAGAAGGCACAGATGTATATGGTTACAAATTTGGAAATACCATAAATATTGTACCTTAAATAGAAATATAGTATATCTCATCTTAGTGGGAAAGACTGTGACTGAGCATCTGCTATCCAGGGACTGATGACAGGTAACTTCTCAGCCCGTTGCCTCTCACTTCTGGTGGGTCTTCTATTTTAAAAAAGACTTGGGTCTTTTCTAGATGAGACTCAACCTGGCAGCTTACTGGGGCTTCTACATTCATTGTAGGTGTAAGTCTGGCTCTTTACTGAGGCCTTTCCTTCTCTGCCTTTCTATATGTCGCATTATACAACCACTAGCTGGGAATGTGATGCAGTGGAACTATGTAACTATGTAAACATGCCTGCCATCCTGCCATTCACAGATAATATGGTTTCCTTGATCTAAAAATGTGGGTTAGAGCTTAGACTGCTGGCCTGGGATCCAGGAGATCTCTGTTCTACGCCCTGTTTGAGCAAGAGGCTTACTGGGTGACTTTGAGCAGGGCACCAGTTTGTAGCCTAACTTACCTCACTGGCTTGTTGAAAATGGAGAGGAGGAGAAGGAATAGGTTTTTGTAAGTTGCCCTGGGTTACTTGCAGACAAAATGATGGGATATTGATATAATAAATATATAGTAAATACACAAAGATGTAGAAATGTTCGCAAAGAAAGGGAGAAGCCCTGCAGTATGTAAAGCACCTACACATTACCACAAGAGAAGAATCATGAGCACTCAGTTAAGGTCTCTTGTCCAAAGGTGCACGGGCAACCTTTCAAACAGAGGACAGCCTTCAGACAGAATCGTCAGTCTTGTGTGCTCCTTGGTTAAACAGAGTGGCTTCTCACTTTGCAAAGCCAGTGAGATTATTTTTGTCACAGGCATGCTCCTGAGATTGCTTAACAGCATTCTACAATACTATTTACAAAGAAGAGGAAAAAGAAGGCATAGCAGCATCTGCTGGGTAACCAATAGGGCAAGTTCATTCTTTCCTCTTCCATTTATGCTTGCAAAATG